AATTAATTTATTATGCATATTTAGTTAATTCATGATACATATTTAGTTCTTACGAAATGCATATTTAGTTCATGAACAGTGCATACCTATTTTATTTGAGATCCAATCATACCGGCTTTCCCGAAACCACCCCAACCTACTTTTATTACTCAATCCGTAGCCTCGTCTTGTACGCAACTAGTGCATATTAAGTTAGTAAAATGTGCATACTTAGTACATAAACAGTGCATACATAGTTGATATTATTGGTGCATATTTAGTTCATAAGGATGACGTATATAATTCATTTGAACTAAATATGCATGGGGTATGAATTGCACATGCAGTCCTTATGAACTAAATATGCACCAATAGTATCACTAAGTATGCACCTGTTATCAACTAAATATGCACTTGTTAAGAACTAAATATGCAGCGAAAATATGCAATAAAATGTACATTTTATATAGGTAATTTATGATGTATATTTGGTTAATTTATTTGAGATCCAATCATAACAATTTATTTGTGTTATTAATTAATTTAAAATTAAAATTAATTATATTATAAAAATCATTAATTATTATATTTAATTTAATTGTATAAAATGTATATTTTATTGCATATTTTCGTTGCATATTTAGTTCATTCGTGATGCATATTTAGTTCATAACAGATGCATATTTAGTTCATAACAGGTGCATACTTAGTTGATATTATTGGTGCATATTTAGTTCATAAGGACTACATGTGCAATTCATATCCCATGCATATTTAGTTCATATTGAATGCATGGTATTGGATGCATATTTATTTCATACATATGATGCATACTAGGGGTCAACGGGTCAACGCCAGAAGTCAATGGTCAATGACGGAGTCAACGCCGGAAGTCAACGGTCAACGGCGAAAGTCAACGATTTTTCGCCGGAAGTCAACGGTCAACGCCGGAGTCAACTAATAATTATTTTATTATTTAATTAATATATATTTTAAGGAGTGGACTCATTTTAAAGAGTGTACTCATTTTAAGGAGTGGACTCATTGGATATATATATATATATATTCAAGTTTTAGTTGCGTGAGTAGTAAAATATACATAGTTATATATTTTATATTGTTTGATTTTGGATTTTTAGAGTTTGGTTGAGAAGTTAGAAATATATATATATATATAT